TTTTTTTTTTGGGGGGGCGGGGGAGAGAGGGAGGGGGACTTGAACCCTTAACCTCAAGAAAGCAGAGCCTTGGACCAAAGGTCCGTTGGTTGTAGAGTAAATAATATAAGCTACCATTTTAGATGTTGGAACTCAGGATTGCTAGCATGCACACAGACACACGCATTATTACATAGGGATAAAGGAGCATAATATGGTACATACCATTCCTCACATTCATGCAGGATGCATCTTTTGAGTGGATGGCATTAACAAGAGTATCAGAGACATCTTTGTCGAGCGTGAAACCCTTCTCCATCATCTGATCCCAGACAGTACAAGCAACTGAAAGCTTCTTTTCAAGTATGAGCCCTCCAATGATCAATTTGAAAGTCACCACATCTGGATATGACCCTTTCATTTGCATCTCCTCATACAATTGCATAGCTTCACTTACTCTTGATGCCTTGCAAAAACCATTGATGAGCGCGTTGTATGAAACTACATCAGGGTTGATTCCTTGCCCTACCATATCACAGAAAATTCTGCGAGCCATCCCTAATCTCCCTGTCTTACACATCTGATCAACAATTGTAGTATACAATACACGATCTGGTAACATACCCATCCCTGTCATCTGTTCAAGAAGCTTCTCAGCTATATTGGAACTGCCTTCTCTAAGAAAAGATTTTATAAGAATTGTAAAAGTTACCACATCAGGAACAATTCCCTTCCGGCCCATCTCCTCTAGTAGCCTGTAGGCCCTCCGTGCGCGGGAAGACTTACACAAAGCTCTAATAATTGTGTTATAAGATACAACATCGACCAAGCCTTTAGCCAGCATCTTGTTCACCATCAGCATGTAAGCCTTATCCACTCGGTTGGCTTTGCAAAGGCCTTTAAGAAGTTGGTTGTAGCTGTAACCATCAGGCTGCATCCCACTCCTCTCCATCTTCTCCATCAACCTTTCTGCATCCTCCAGCATTAGCTCATTACAACAATAATTCAACAACACATTGTAAGTCACCAAATCTGGCTCACATCCATTCCTCCTCATAAAGGCCTTAATTGCTTGTGCTTTGTCAAACCGACCAGCTCGACAAAATTCACAAATCAGTGTATTATATATCGATAAGCTAAACTTAACTCGATCCTTCATTGCACCCAGGGTTAGCTCATAAGCTAAATCAACCTTCCCACCATCACACAAACCCAAAACAAGTGCCCTACAAGCTTTATTATCCGGACTGAAACCTTTCCGAATCATTCTGTTCCACAGTTCCACAGCGGCATCAAACCGTCTCACCTTACACATCCCATTAATAACTATAGTATAACTCACAACATCAGGTTCTCTTCCCTTCTCACCCATAATTTTCAATACCTCTAAAGCCATATCCACTAAATTCTCATTACACAAAAGATTCAAGTATATATTATAAGCCCACATATCCGGGACCGCCCCAATTTTATCCATATCTTTTAGAAGTCTATGTATAAGTTCAAAGTTCTTTACTTTACACAACCCAGAAATGAATCTTGAATATGTGAAAAAAGTTAAAGAAAATCCTTTTGGTATCATTGCATTGTAATACTGTTCGGCTAAAGCAAAATGGGATTGGCTAACTAATACGCCAATGAATCGATTGTAATCTATGCTAAAAACTCTGCAATCTGATTGAGTCATTTCATCAAAAACTTGGATGGCTTGATCAATCTGACCCCTTTTGACGTAGTTTGATATACGAGCACGGTATATGAGCCGATTTCTACCAAGAGCTTTATACATATCAGAGTGGGTGTCTCAGAGTTGAATACATAGCATCGCCTTTTCAGCTCCCACCTGAATGATACTCAGAAAAAAGGCATGTAAAGTGCGTTACATGTCAATACATATAAAAACAATGTGAGTCCATAAGTTACAGTCAGAAACAATTATGACCCAGTGCCTGCATGTTTCTGTGCGTGGATAGAGAGAGACCGGGGCCAGCAAGGGAGAAGAGAGATTGATGAACTTGAGGCCTGAATCCAAGTCTGCACTCTCGAAATCCGAAGCGAAGCATTTCAAATTGGGTTTTTTGAAAGCCGATAGACCTTTTAACATTTATTAGGCTAGAAGTCCAAGCAGAGAAAGATTTTGGCTAAAAGTTCATTTGGGAAAAAAATGTCTAATATACCCGTAACAACAAAATAACTTCTCTCATAAAACCAATTAAGAAACCTTATTTATATTTAAAACAGATTTAGAAACTAAAATTCTTAAATTTTAGAGTTTTATCATATTTTCTATATATATATATATATTATATATATGCTAGTAATTGTCCGTGCCTTCCTCAAGGCACAGAGTAACAAAAAAAACGTCAAAACCATAAACATATTTATAATTAATCAAAGAAATTAGTTCAAAAAAATCAAAATACATTAATTAATTTATATTCACGCCCAAAATTTGCATCCATGAGAGAGAAAGAAAATTGAAGATTGAAACGAGAATAGAAACAACAAGAGAAAAAGAGTGGGATTCAAGAGTATGAGAGAGAGAGAGAGAGAGTTTGGAAGGGTATATAATATAAACCTTGAAGAGTTAATAGTAGCCCTTGAATCAAATTTGGAGTAGTTTAAAACGATTTGAACCGCAAAAAATAAAAATTATTTTTTATGTCTTTTGAGATTTGAAATCCCTTCTACTTTTATTATAGATGAGACTTTTTATAGCAATTAATAACTTTTATATTTTAAGCGATAAGTAAGTGTTTGATATATTTTCTTAAATAGTGTGGAATCCCTAGTGGGTATATTATGTCATTTCTACCTCTAAAATGCATTGATTATATAATTTTATTTTTTTTCTTATTTCTAAAAATATCTAATAAATGTGTTATTTACTTTATAGACGCTACAATATATTATTTTTGCATAAAGTGGATGTTGTAAAGATATGGCGCCTATTTTGAGAACCTTTCAAAAGTATCTAGAATCTTAATGAAAAAAAACCATCTAGGTGTTGTTTTTAATTTATATTTCAATTTATCATTGTTTGTATAGAAGTGTGATTTGAACTTATTATTTTCAATGTAAGAGCTTGGTTGTAAAACTAAGAACGAACACTCAATTTCATGTCAAGAATTTCATAAAGCAACCACTATTGGTGAAAGGCCCTGAATACAAATTTCGTGTATTTAATCACAGCAACAACGTGATTATGATGAAACACAGAAGTACGATTTAAGATTGAAAGAAATAAGAGCAAATTGAGCCTATACATTTCACACTAACCTCCCAATCTAAGAAACCACATGGCAATTGATGGCATAATCTGTTATACATATCATATCATCCCATGTGTACCAAAAAAAAACTAACCATTTCAAGAAATAGGAAACAACAAACTGAAAAGAAGAAGGGATAGCAACAAAGTAATAAATCAGAGAATTAAAGAACAGAGAGGAAGATTTTGTGAGGTTTTGGAAGTTCGTTTGGGCAGGATAAAATTCACTAATACAAACGAATTTGTATGTGCTTAAAGAAGAGAGGTTTCGGAAATTCGTCTGTGCGTAGAGAAGAGAGTGAGTGTGTGAGCTGAGATGTTTTCGGGTGGGAGGGGTTTTTGGTTGGGGGAGGGGTGTTTCTGGGTTTAGGGAGAGGGATACAGAGGCACAGTTACAGAGAGAGAAGAAGAGAAACCTGGTGGCAGCCGGTGGCGAGGGGAGGGGCGATTGCTGATGGCAGCCGGTGGCGTCGCAGCTGGATGAGAAGAGGGTGAGACGGTGAGACTGAGAGTGACAATACGTCTGAAACACAAATAAGAGAGGGAGGGCTGCTTAGGATACCGAATATTAGAGCAAGGAGGAGCTAAAGTATAAAAAAAAATTCAAAAATTTAACTATTTTACATTAAAATTTCACCCTAACTAAATATTTTCAGAGCATTTAAAATGTTATTTTATTACAAGCAGTTATAATATTTTCTTTATTTTCCTTTCCTTTCCTTTCCTCCGGTCTCTCTCTCACTACCCCCAAAAAAATAATACACAAAAATAAAAAATAATATTCTAAAAAATAGTTCAAAATATAAAAAAATTATTAGTGTGTATTGAAAAGTGAGTAGGAAAAATAGAAAATATTATTTTTTGAATAGTTAAATTAATTTTTGTTGTTGGATATATTCTTCAAGAAAGATGCATGAGATAGTAGGATCTGAAAAATATGAGATAAAATGAAATTAAGAGACATTATGTATCATAAATTGCATGATTTAATGGGTTAGATTTTTTTGGGCGGGATAAAATTCGTTTGGGCAAAAAAATAAATTTGAAGAGCTAATTTTATATGTCAGATTAACTATGAATATTTATCGGTCAATCTTAAACGTTTGAACGATTTTATAAGTTAGGAGTCAAAATTTTTTGTATTTTATTTTATATCTATATAATAAAGTACAATACAATTTAAATTTCAAAAGATAAATAAAATTACTTTTATTATTCGCGATTGAAATCTTTTTAAATTTTACTTTTAAATTTAATCTGACAGTTAATATTAAAATCCCAAATTTAATAGAAAAAATAGGACGTTAAGAGTGTATTTAAAGTAATTTTTTAAAAAGGGTTTGTAAGAATTATTTCTCATAAGTACTTTTAAAAAAAATTATGTTTAAAACTGTTCCACCATTACCTCTATCACCACCACCCCCACCGCTCCACCACTAGCACCGCCACCCCCACTGCTCCACCATCATCGCCACCACTATCGCCACCCTACCACACCCACCGCTCCACCACTACCACTTCCATCACCACTACAGTTGGCATCACCCACCACAATTATCACTGTCTCTCANACCACTTCCATCACCACTACAGTTGGCATCACCCACCACAATTATCACTGTCTCTCATCATCATCATTGTCGCCTATCACCACTAACACTACAAATTTATAAAAAAATTCTATAAATTTTTTGTATCTCTCAATTATGTTTATGATTTAATTTTAAGTGTGAATACAAATATGTTTATTGTTGGTCAATTTTTTTATTACTCAAACACAAAAAATAACTAGTATATATATATCAAGAATACAAGTGAATCATAATATAAATCCACACTATTATGTGACGCCGGGAATATAATGACAAATAACAGTGAAACATAAAAAATAATATTGACACAAGGGAANCAAAAGATAAATAAAATTACTTTTATTATTCGCGATTGAAATCTTTTTAAATTTTATTTTTAAATTTAATCTGACAGTTAATATTAAAATCTCAAATTTAATAGAAAAATAGGACGTTAAGAGTGTATTTAAAGTAATTTTTTAAAAGNTTATTTTTAAATTTAATCTGACAGTTAATATTAAAATCTCAAATTTAATAGAAAAATAGGACGTTAAGAGTGTATTTAAAGTAATTTTTTAAAAGGGGTTTGTAAGAATTATTTCTCATAAGTACTTTTAAAAAAAATTATGTTTAAAACTGTTCCACCATTACCTCTATCACCACCACCCCCACCGCTCCACCACTAGCACCGCCACCCCCACTGCTCCACCATCATCGCCACCACTATCGCCACCCTACCACACCCACCGCTCCACCACTATCACTTCCATCACCACTACAGTTGGCATCACCCACCACAATTATCACTGTCTCTTATCATCATCATTGTCGCCTATCACCACCAACACTACAAATTTATAAAAAATTTCTATAAATTTTTTGTATCTCTCAATTATGTTTATGATTTAATTTTAAGTGTAAATACAAATATGTTTATTGTTGGTCATTTTTTTTATTACTCAGGCACAAAAAATAACTAGTATATATATATCAAGAATACAAGTGAATCATAATATAAATCCACACTATTATGTGACGCCAGGAATATAATGACAAATAACAGTGAAACATAAAAAATAATATTGACACAAGGGAAAAAACAGTGACAAAAAAGTGACACATGAAAAAAAAAACCATGACAGGTGGGAAAAAAAGTGAGGAATTAGTGGGCGGCAGTTTTCGACTAAACACAATAATATGACNGGTGGGAAAAAAAGTGAGGAATTAGTGGGCGGCAGTTTTCGACTAAACACAATAATATGACTCAAATTCGACACGAACTCGATTATAATTCAACATAAACTCAAAAATGACTAGACACACAAATCCGAAATATAAATAGGTCGTATTCGGACTCAACTTGCTAAACTCGAAATTGACACAATCAACTCATTTATTTAATCGTGTCAACACTAACCCGACAATGATCTGTTAACGACACGAACATGACCTAATAATTTTTTATCAAAAAATTGACATACTTAACCCATTTAGATATAGTATAAAAAGAAAATATAGGCTCAATTCAAAAATATGTAGACTATTTTTTCCTTGTGGAAGTAGAGAAATCTATTTTAAGTCTAGCAATTTCAAAATAATGATAACTTTGAAGTACTTAGTTAAGAATCTACGCTTCCTCTA